GACTGATATAACGCAGTTCTTGTCCAACAATCCTCTGGGGAAAATGGAGGGGGTGACCAACAGATGTTTCGTCAAACAAGAACTATGCTTATATCCCTTTCCACACTTGTCGCACTTGAGCTCACTTCCGCTCCGTACGCGGATTCCCTTTTGCGATAATGCTGGTCCGGAGCCGGTCCCTTCGCTCGCACGGCGGTTTCGCGGTGTGGGCTTGACTTCTGGTGCGTGGCCGTCGACGATGGCACTTCCGTTCAGCAGCGTTGTACTCTTTCCAGCGTATGGCGCAGAGTTCAGCCCTGCACTCAATCCTCCAGCGTTGGGCAGGCTACTCGGCGGGCTCGGATATGCGGGGAGACACGTGGTCTCTGCCTTCCCATGGAGTTTTGGTAAAGACGCAGCGACGCCCGAAGCTCCAAACCCATTAGCTTCCGCGGCCTGCTTGATGGCCTGTGTGACAGCCGCGATGTTGGCCCCAGAGGAGGACATGCTCTTACGGCGAGTGATACGGTGTTGACTCGCCAGCGCTGATCCCCCAGAAGGGTGGCGAGCGTGCTGGGGCGACTTGATCGGCAGTGCGTTTGAGGAGGAGCTCGGGGTTGGGTTGAGGCCGTTTGACAGACGAGAGGGTACGGAATCCTGTAGTGGTGAAGCATAAAAAAAAAATTAACTCTAACATTCCCTCTCTCGGCTCCTCCCGGGACATAGCTCCGCACCTTTGTAGCAGCCATGGCAATTCCGAACTGCCAGGCGTGCAGCAGCAGCGGAAGCTTGATGAACGATCGGCGAAGCGGTTAATGTAACGGTGATGGGCGTTTTTTTTTCCTGCTGCTCTGTGTAGGCGCAGAACGTCTGTTGTTTCCCGGGGTCGTTGTGGAAGATCTGGCCGGAGCTTCGTCGGTGTTCCTGCAGGATGAGCTAAACAGTGTTGGGGCCTCCGGTTACCGCAGTCGAGAAAAGCTGTCGGGCGGGGGTCGGCTGTGTTTCGCGAGGAAGAGCAAGCGGTTCAGCGATGGAATTCGATGGGGGGGAGCGGGATGCGCGTGTGTGTGGGCGGAGAGAGGATGACTGTGGGTTCAGGAGGTGACAGATGCCTCCAAAATAGGTTGCTGTGGCTTCGCAGCAGGCAGGGGTGGTGGTGGAGGGCGGGAAGCTGGGGCTGGCACAGCTCTCGGGCCGGCGGGGAGGAGCTCACGCCTAGCGTAGAGGCAAGCGGTGGGGCAGCGGGGACGGTGACGATGGTGATGGTGTTGATGATGATGATGATGATGATGATGATGATGATGAAGGTTGAGCGGAGCGAGGATGAGAATGTGGTGGTTGTTGAGTATGGTGATAGGAAGAGTGAGAAGAGGGTGGTGGGCAGACACAGGAGCAGTAACAGCAGCAGGATGTGTCGATGCACAGGACGGCTCAGGGTGGTTGAGGTGGAGGGAGAGCAGATTCAAAAAAAAAAAAAAGTTCCCCCGTGTGGCACCACGCAAAGCAAAAGCACCGCCTCGTTGCGTGAACCATTGGCCGAAAGTCCATCCATCGCTATGCCTATGAAGACTGGCCACTCTCCATCATCTTTGCGTGAACCATCCTCCCCGCACCTTCCCCCTCTTCTCCAACTCCATCCATCCTCCTTCTCCTCAACCCACTCGAGCTCTGTAACCACAACCACCACAAGCGCCCCAGATCCCTGTCGCGATCACGCGGCTCCAAATTTCTATCCCCATCATTCCCATTTCCATCCTCCATCCATCTCCATCTCCATCTTCACCATTCTGACCCTGATTATTCCCACCACCCCCATCGCATCCTCCTCTCACCACCCCGCACCATCCGTGACAGAGAGAAAAAAAAAAAAAAACCCTCCTCGAATCCCATCATCATCTGACCCGCGTCGTTCCAGATTCCTCGCACGAGTGGTTGCGCACACCCCATCATCAGCCACACGCATCCACCTGGGCAGCACCACTCCTCTCCCCGCTTCCCAGTTCTGGTGCCGTCGCACATGGCTTTTTATGCATCGCGTCACGTGTCGATCGCGCGTTCTCATTAAATTTTTTGACTTCGACTCTCGAGGCGCTTCGCGTTTATATATGCTGTATCTGTTATGTATCGAGCACAGTGGAAATTCGTTTTCGCTGCTGGAGATGAAGGAAGGCGGAGAACGGGGAGAGAACGGGAGTTGCTGCATGGCCTGTGCAATGAAATGAAACATCATGCTTCAGCTTAACTTTTATTATTATTTTTGTTGAAGCTTCAAGTCTACTCCACGAAAAAACTTTTTTTGAGGTTGAAGAGAAGCCAGATGCTCTACATCATCGATGACCGTGTGGAATCGGCTCCGTCGTGTTGCCTTAACCCTCGACCCCCGACTCAACTCAACTCTAAACGGCTCCACTCTCCACAGCGCTCCACTCTCCATGAGACTCTCCACGAGACTCCACTCTTCATCCCCACCGCCACCCATAACCGCTACCCGGGGGTATCATGGCTGGAGTGGAGCGTTACCCGGTGAGTCATCATCAAACCTCACTCTCGGGGTCTGTGTCCGTTTCAACTGTAGCTGGAGGCAGCGTCTAATATTACCATACTATGATAAAAATAAAAAAATAATAAAAAACACAATGAAAAACGATTGTGAGTATATCTTCCTAGTTCAGGTCTCTCGTCAAGAAAATCACGGCTATCGCCATAACAGTGTGATCATCCATGAATTGAAGCAATAACACCAACTCTAAGCCCAAGGCTGAATTGAAGCCCAAAAGTATCGAATGATACCATGTGAATGTGATGTCTGGATTATTGATGGCTTTTAGAATATAATACAACGTCGTGGGTCCGTGTGCCATGGATGCGTTCATAGATTGGACTGGGTATACCGGGGGGGAGTATGGAAATGAAAAAAAAAAAATGCATCCAGGAGGCTACGGGGTGTGAAAATAAAGCGCTTGAAACGAGGTAAAATATAGAATACCAGTCGGTCTTTTGGGTTATAGTTAAAAACGTGTGTGTGTGCGCGTATACTCTTCCTCGTCCCTTTCTTCTCCGCCGCGTCTTTTCCCTTTCTCTACTACCATCTCCGTTTTTTCCCCTTCCCCCCACCGCTTAACTCCCTATCTCTCCCTATCTCTCCCTCTCCCCCGGGACATACACCCTCCCCGGCCTCTCCAATACCATCTCGACCTTCTCCCTCACCTCCTCACTCAACCGTTCCCCCTTATCCTCCATCTCCCTCCCCTCCTCCCTCTCCACAGGCGGTACATAATTTCCCGCTCCGCCCCTCCCCGTCCACACCCTCATCTTCGGCGCCTCCTGTCCCTGTGCGGCGGCTAGTGCAGCGGCGGTCGTCGTCGTGATCGGGTCGGGTTGTTCTTCGGGAGCTGGTGGCGGGGCGGTGGTGGAGGTGGAGGATGGGGTGAAGTAGTTGCCGAAACCGCCGCGGCCGCTGGTTGGGGTTAGCTGGATGGTGTCGCAATGAGAGGATGAGATGATGGGGAAGAAGGGAAGATGGGGGAGGAACAAGGGAGGGGAAATACCCATGCTGGTACTCATCCGGCTGCCTCTCCCTCTGGTTTTCCGCGGCGATGAGGTTGGCCGCGTCGATTTGTTCTTGTGCTTCGAGATCGCGCTCCTGGGTAGGTGTGGTGGGTTAATTTGGTTAGGTAACTTCTCTACTTCTCTCTTTCTTCCTCTCTCTATATATTTCACGTCTCGGAGCGGTGGAATCAGGGATTGGGAGAGATTGGGGAGATATGGCGTACCTTATTCACCTCCTCCGCCGTCTTAAAGTTGCCGGCGCCGCCGCGGCCGGTGCGGTAGTAGTTGGACATTGCGGCGGGAGGTGGGTGTGAAGTTGGGGGGAGCTGGGTTCGGGTGGGGAGCGTGGAGAGGTTGTGGTGTGGAGTGGTGAGCTTCAAACAAGCTTCAAGCACAAGTTCAAGCGCAAGCTTAAGTCTGTTCACCGCTGGTTATCGCTGTCTCGCCGTACTGTCTCGCCTTGCGTGGTGTGTTGCGTAGAGTATTTTGTGTACAATGTGCGGTGTGCGGTGTGTGATGTCTCTCCCACCACCACCTCATCCCACCGACCACGGCGATATATACCCTCCCCTCCCTCCCTCCCCCGCCAACATCTTTATCGCCGGGTGCGTGTGTGTGTGTGCCTGGCGCGACTTCCACGTGGGGTGGCGTTTGTTCGGGACGTAGCGAGCGAGCGAGCGACCGATATCGGTATCGGGATGATGGGATGGTTGTTATCGATAAGGGCGGGGAGCCAAGAAGTCGATGTTGATGTCGATGAAATGTCGCGCGGGCTGGGTTGGGTTGGGTTGGCAGGTGTGGTGCCGATGTCACTCCACTCTGTTGTGTGATGTCAATGTCGATGATCGCGGGAGAGGTGGGGATGGGGATGAGCGATAAGGGGAGAGGAGTTTGTTCGGTTGTGATGCATGGTCCTTGATTCATACGACGGGTGATATGTCATGATGGGTGTCGAACATCGATCTGCAACGAGGTCTCTGACAAAAAAACTCTGTAAATCTTTTCTTCCCCAAGCTCTGCATCATGGGTCTAACGCACTTCACCGAAACCTCCAAATCAACTTGAAGAGTTTCAAGCACGCTGCCAAAACCCGCTTCAGTGGTTTAGCGCACTTCACAAGCTCATCCGGGATACACCTGAGGGAAGGCGAACTAGGAAGCTGTACCAAGTTCCAGCGTAGTTGAGCTTTGGGCATCGTAGTTTATACTCATACTCTGGGACAAAAGGTGGCACGTATGTGATGAGGGGGATTGCACGTAGTCGTATGTGATCAGAGCGGTCCCGTGAAGTGGATGAGGAGAGCTGGCTGCGGTTTCATTGACTAACATCATGAATAATCACTCTGTTTTCACAACGACGTGACGGAATACTGGCAAACAACCAAGTGATTTAGACACGCTGATGGAATTCAAATGAGGTCTACTATATAAACTAGTGTCAAAAACACTCCACAGTCGTGTGGAAGAAAAACACTCTTCGGCGGGGAATTGAACCCCGGTCGCCCGCGGACAGTCTTTATGACAGGCGGGAATACTAACCACTATACTACCGAAGATGGTTTGTTGTGATAGAATTCTTCTCTTAATGTTATCAAGTTTGAATCGTACATCTCAACGCTCTTCCCAGAGTTTTCGAGTAGATGCAGTACAACACTGCGGAAAGGGGACGCTTTGTATGTTAGTTCTCGCGCCATATCCCAAAGGGACGCATGCGCTTAAATGATTACAAACAAAAACAAACAATCAACGCTCTTCCCTTGGGAAAAACGGAGGCCATTCTCTTCGCGCGCCAAAACAACAAGACTTTCAAGGACAACGTCTCCAAGCATATCCGAATAGGCAGCGCAAGGGTCCAATTCAACAACAAAGCTACCAGATGGCTGGGAATATGGCTCGACAGCCACCTAAAACTCCGAGAGCACCACAATATCATGCTGAAAAAAGCCCGTACAGTGTTGTACCAAACTCGGAGGTTGGCGTCAACCCAAGGACTCTCCCCGTCACATGTCAGGAAAATCCTAGTAGCCACGTCGCAGACAATCGCGCTGTACGGGGCGGAGCTCTGGTGGAGGATGGACCGAGCGGACGGGAGAGTCCTCCAAATCCAGAAACTCGTCAATGAGCATGCCCGCGCCATCACAGGTATGCTACGGACGACACCCATAGGACCACTGGTCAGAGAAGCTGGCCTACACCCCGCATCAAGTCTTCTTCGCTACCGCCAGAGAAAATATGCTCTCCGGGCCCTGAAGCTACCGACCGACCACCCCTTGGCAATGATTATCCCAAAGGATTCGCATAGCATCGGGCAACAGAAAACAACCAACCTGGGAAGGACTCTGCGAGACTGCATTCACGACTTAACGGATATGTCCTTTGGCG